TTTGGCTGGATAGTGAATCAGATTCACTATCAGAGATATGACTGCCTTGTGTATTTGTGATTAATGCTAAAATAGTATCGTAGGTTATACTTGGATCTACTTGATTCTCGATAATTTGGGCTACGTGTTGCTCTGAGATTTGTTTATTGCTATCCAGAACGAGCGAACGATCCTTTGATTGAACGCATACAGACGAGGTCTTTTCTTTGTTTCGCTCGGATCAGAACAATCGCGTTTTGGTCGTTGCAGATAGAGTGTATGTAGGGGGATGAATGTTGTGAGGACATGGGTCACGCCTTCGAGATTAATGTCATAAATTGTGTTTCAATCAAATAAAAAGACACTCAGTCACGAAAATGAAATAAAGAGGACGTATGGTAAGGACGTGGAAGCACATGTTCGTACACGTTGGTGAATAACACCGGGGCGCAATTGGTACAAGGGGCAGGTAAGTCAATATAGTACACGGCGGGTCTCCGTAACTTCATCAAGTAACGGCATAGTGGTCATCTCCCTCCAATAAACACACTCGTTGAATATCGCGCACCTGTTCACTGGCAGATGTTTTCAATTTCACTGTTCTTACTAGTCCGTCTGAGTCCGAGTGGCTTTCTATGACTACACCCAGTGGCCAGTTGTCGCGTTGTAGCTTTTCTTCGGCCATAAGGACAACATCTTCAACCTTCAGAGACTGTTCACTATGCAACCACTTCTGTCGAGCTTGAAGGGTTGGTAGGTACTCTCTTGTCCAACGCTTCCAAAACACCCGTGCCAGGTAGTTCGCATGCTTCCAACCGGAGGTATAGCAGCCACTAATGTTTTTTGGCATATCTAGACCGTCATTGGACCTCAATAGCAGAAGGTCAATCGGAGTTAGTGTCAGTCCTTGCAGGTCATCGCTGGTGAAAGGTACAAGCGGTCGATTGTTCAGTATCCTTTCGGCCTCTGCCAAAAATGTACTCAAAGTCTCATCGTTCGGCGCCTGTTGTTAACATAAGGTTGTCAATACTCTCCATACCGACCGTATGAGCCGTTCCCAAACTCCTCTTAACCACTTGATCGTCTTCCCTTTGGTATCTTGTCTGCTGAATGTCTCTTGATTACGGCCAGGTTCTCTCTTGCCCTTCTATTTTCACCTTTTTTCCTATACATTTTTTCATCGAGGTGTCAGTATTGTATGCTTTAGGATTGTCAGCATTGCCGTTTGGATTTTCATTGCTAAGTCTATCCAGTGGTCATTTATCGAAACTGTTCCCTTGGTTCAATTTATCATTCCATTTTCGCGACGGTTCTGAAGTTCTAGCAGTAAATTGCACGATAACATGCATGCTTCATCTCCTTCCCTTCCCCACTCATCAACTAGGAACCAAACCTTCTTCTATTTCAGAGATCTTCTGCAGTAAGACTAACGGCGACTCCTGTCGGATCGGTACGATACTCACCGTTGAAGAAAACTGAAGTAAACCGAAAAACCAAAAGCTGAACACTATGAAATCTTCCATCGATTGGACCGTTTCACTAAACAAACTCAATGTTGAGTTGCAGGCCCACACGCAGCGACCCAAACGCCTCGTGTTTTTTTACTCGATGATAGAAGACCTGGCGGGGTCTGAAACCTCTCCTCCCCGTCCTGACCCGATCACCCTCGCCCAAACAGAGATTTCACTCAGAAGCTAGTCGTACCAACAGGACTTTATATAATCATCTTTGTCAAACGCAAATATTCCAGCACATACACAAAACAACCTTCAAAACAACTCCACCCATCCAGTGTTTGTCTTTTCACCTCCACACGATCAACGTTTGAGATCTTTACCGCGTCCAGTATGCGCAGTTTTCATTTCTCTTCACTGACTGAACTCAGTTCTAGATAACACAAACCCATCGACATGTGTATACTTTTTCATTTCTTACATTCCCGCCTCTGTGACTTTTCGTCTTCATATCTGCTTATCCACAGAACTATAACCTGTCAGAAATAATAATAATAATAATGTATATTTCACGAAACCCGTGAAGCATGCACAAGGCATGGTCATATGTGCTACATTGCTTCCTTTTTATAAATTTCCCAAATGAACAAAGTTGTCCACTGACCGTTTTGTGGCTATCTTTGTTTCTCGCGCGCAAACAGATCGCGTTCCGTTTTTTTTCTTTTTTTTCTTAACCCCCTTCACTGTCGACCCAAATGTTCTGCCATTTATTGTACAAAATGATCGGGCATCCCAGCATACCTCACGACTTTCGTTGTGAAATATGGCACCGTTATTGTTATTGTGACCGCTGTAGGGTGGGCTGAAGTGCCATTGGATCCCAGATGGCGACAGTCGATCTTGCAGGGCGCATTTGTCTAACCGTGTCAACCAGTTGTTCAACTCCTTTTGTGCACCGACGAACTTGGACCCGTTGTCGGAGAATACATTCGATGGATTACCTCGTCTACCAACGAATCTCTGCCAGGCCATAAGAAAGGAGTCGGTCGACATGCTGTGCACGGTCTCTATATGCAAAGCTCGTGACTGCAGGCAGGTCATCAGGCACCCGTACCATTTCTCTGTCGACGTCTTTCGTCTCACCTAAAGTGGCCTTAAGTAGTCCGCTCCAGTTTCGGCAAAGAGCCATCAACCTGGTCGTACTCGGGAACTGGGTAACGAGGCCATCGGTTGTCTACTGAATGTAGCACTCTGGAGACGACAAAAGAGACAGTTGCCCACGATGCGCTTCACCGTAGCTCTCCCTTTCACTATCCAAAACCGACGGCGAATCGTATTGAGTAGGTGATTTTCGCCGGCATGACCTTCCTGCATGTGAATATGTATGATGAGTGTGTGCGTGATGTGGTGGCTGTTGGGCAAGATGATGGGATGTTTAGCGTTAAAGTCCAAATCAGAGTTTGTCAATCAACCGCATACTCTCAGCAAACCATCCACCAATATTGGACAGAGTCTTCGGAGAACACTGCAACGTAATGCACGTTGGTCGGAGTCACGATTCCCCTTGCCTAACCTCTGAAGCTCCGACGGGAAGGTTTGTGATTGAACCATGTGAACAATATCCGTCTCTGCTGTTTTCAATTCGTTTGGAACGATGGTTTGAATTTTCAAGGAGTCGTTTGACCGGAGTCCTCTCATAATGGCGAGTTTTCGTTTGAATCTGGTCCACCAAACAACTACCCTCAGCACCTTCGTCTATCGTGAAAAAAGATGCAGTTTCTGCACTAGGATGTTGGTTGAAGCAGCGACTAGCGTAACGGTCCTCTTAGTCTCTAGTAACTCCGTTGCGACAGGGGGAATCTGAGAGTCGGGCCATTCGCTGGGCTGGTCTGTCAAGAATGCCGGTCCATGTAACCATGGTTTTATTTTTTCCAAGTTCAGCACACCCTGGAGCAGTAGTCGGCTGGATTGTCACAAGATTTTATGTGCCGCCATTGACACACCTCTGTTTCTTCGTGAATGACAGCCAACCGGTTGGCAACAAGTGTGCTGAAGCGCGTCCGTACATTGTTAGCGTAGTGAAGAACTATGGCGGAATCAGTCCAGTAGTTTACAGTCCATTCAATCGAGTTTTAACATCTTTTGAGCACCTCCGCTACCCTCATTGTTAATACTGCTGCGGCCAGTTCTAGCCTGAGTATTGAGATTGCTATTAGGGGGGTGACCCTGGCTTTAGCGAATAGTATACTGCTATGCCTCCTTTCTCCTGGCCGAGACAAGCAACTGTAGGCCACTACCTCGTATTCCACCTCCAACGCGTCCGAAAAAATGTGTAATCCACTTGTCTCCCCTCGGCGTATTCCTGGTATGGGACAAGAGAGTCGTATATCGCCCATCTTGGACAGGCTCATCCACCAGCCTTGCCAGGTCTTGTGATCCGCTTCGCATAGGGTATTATTCCAAGTAACTTTTTTTCTAAACAGGTACTGCAGCAGAATCTTGCCCGGTAATAGCCACGTTGCGACGAACCTCATTGGATCGCACAGTCTGACCAACGAAGACAGAATTCCTCTGCGAGCCGCCGTCTTTTCGGGTAGCTGGGGTTGGAAAAATTTTCATCTCTCTGCTATTCCCACTGCACACTGAACTGAACTAAAGTGAACGGTACGTAACCCGCGAGCAGTTTGAATTGATAAAGTGCTCTCGGTTTTGTATCTTTTTGCCAAACTAAAGTGAAATATCTCGGGATATCATATTCACTTATTTTTCCGGTTTTTGTTTCATCGCGAGGTATTTCATAGTATTAAACTCTGACTTGTTTTGACTAGTCATTGAGAAACCTTTTTGCTGTTTAGAAATTTTACAGAATGTTCTTTTGGTACTTTTTCCTCTATGGTTACATGTCCTTTTTGTTCCCTTTTCGGCTCATTTTAACGTATTGTTAAAATGGCACACAGGCGTGACCGCTGTGGTATTAGTCAGTGTCAGG